CATGAGAGCTTGGGAGAGGACCCCATCACAGCTGACACCTTGTTTGTGACTTTGTGAGACACTGAGCAGAGGCCACAGCTCAGTGGTGCTGACTCCTGGTGTCCCATGGAAACTGAGAGATAATACATGGGTGTTCTAAGCTGTTGCATTTATGGTAATTTGTTCTGCATCCATAGAAAAGTAATACATCATTCTATTTTAAGAAACTTCCAGGTATGGAAGCCCCACTCTGTATGTGTGTGTGTGTGTGTGTGTGTGTGTGTGTGTGGCATGTAGTTTGGGGATGGGGGTTATGAAGCCAGGTGAGAAGAAGAAAACTATGTTGGAGGAAGTAATGGTGCATTCAGTGGGGGAGGGGATGAGCCTGATTAATGTGCAGACTTACCGAGTGCCCAGCTTTGGGGAGCTGGAGGGAGAATGTCTCCTCCAGTGCCAAGGCTTGCTTTACACTTGGGAGCTTCTGTCCTAAATAGGGGCTCCACTTCCCTCTCTTCTAGGTGGTGCTTGGGGAGCCAATACTTGGAGGAAAAATATACATTCTTTGTAAAGATGCAAATATTTTCTTGAGTGCAGAGGTGATGAAGTAGGATATTTTTAATTCATAGCAGGTTTTGAGAAATCCTCTCTACGTGAGTCTTTTGTTCAGGATTTCTGTCCTCCCTGCTTCAAGGAGAGGATGCCATGGGAGAAAGCATGGAAAGCAGGTATTCCTCTTAAGCTCTGCCCCTAAAGGGAGCCGTAGAGGAGCTGCAGTGCAGAAAAAGGTTTGTGGGGGGACACAGCCAAGTGAGAACACATCTCTCTGTCTGATTCCCTGAGCTGCCAGAGAAAGGAAGCAAAGGGACAGAAGGATCCACATGAAAGGGCCTCTTCATCTTTCTCCCTGGCAGAGTTGCAGAGAAAAGGAAACAACCCCTGAAAAGATCTGTGGGATCTGGAAACAGAGGGGACATGAGCCTGTGTCTTGGGACAAGTCCTAGGAAGTGGCAAGACCTTGGAGTCACTTAAGTGCATAATTGGCCATTGTTCCCACTGCCAGGTCCAATGGAGATGCTAAAATAATTGTCGAATGAAAGAATGAATATGTTAGAAGGCCTCTAAAAACTATCCAGGAAGACTTTCTTTACCAGCAACAGGGAAAGCTGATGAGGGTCATGTGATTCTGGTTCCAGGGTGAGGGCTGAGATACCCACACGTCTAACGGCCCCCCCCCACCCCCCCCGCCCCAAGGAGGCCCTGCTGCCTAGATATGGGCTGCAGATTCCTTGGGGGCCCAGAGTTCTAACCTTGGGCAGCCAAGTCAGCTGTCTTAGGGAAGCTTGCTCATGGGTCCTTGTCCCTGGGTCATGGCTTCTCCTGGCCTGAGACCACCTGGTCCCTGCCCCTTGAACTCTGTCTAGGAAGCTCAGGGGAGTGGCCAATAGCTTCCTGGACGTGAGCCTGTATTGGAGCTGAGGTGTGAAGCAGCACAGCAGGCTCTTCCTCATCACCTCTCTTCTGTGTTACATTGCCCCGAGGTGTTCGTAACAACACCAGTTAATTGGTCGTTGAGCTAAGAGAGCCCCCTTTATCATAGTTTGTGTCAGGTCTACACCCTGGAATCTGATGAGGTCTTTGGGTGCTGGCAGCACAAATTTTAACCATTATTTTTTCTATTATGGATGATTCTTTCGCACTTTGGAGTTAGACAGAGGTCTGCTTGAGCTCAGCTCATGAAGACAAATGCTGGGGGGTTTTCTGGGTCTGGGGTGGCCTCTGTTTCATTAATACAACATATTCAAGATATATACCCATTGTCTGGAAGCTCTGAGGATGGACAACACTCAGAGGGGTTTGGAATGATTATTCAGAATCAAAGACACTATGGGCTATAGTCACCCTGGACGGTAGGGATTGAGGAGCAGGTGTCTGGAACCATCCAGGGCTGAGTTTGAGTCCTGCCTCTGCCCCAGAAAAGATCTGTGCATCTTTGAACTTCAGATATCTCACCTGTAAAGAGGGTAACTCTCCTGATTTCATATCACCATTACAAGGGTTGAAGGATCTGATGATCATGGTACCTTCTTGGCCTATTGATAAGCCAGGTATTAAATTCAACCATTCAGGACAGGGGTTTTCAGTTGGGGCCAGTTTGCTCCCACAGCAGACATTGGGCAATGTCTGGAGACATTTTAGGTTGTCACATCGGGAGGAGGAGTGGGTGTACATCAGGTGGGTGTACAGAGCAGGGATGCTGCTCAACATTCTACGGTGCACAGGATGCTCCCTCCCCTGCCCCCAGCCCAGCCCCAGCACAGAGAATGATCTGGTCCTAAATGTCAGTAGAGCTGATGTTGAAAAACCTATTTTAAAGTTGAAGCAGAGTGAAAGTTCACTTGCTCAATAAATGGCAGGTCTACTTATAAATAAGAAGGTTCAAAGGAACATGTTTTTTTCCACAGTGGGTGAATTAAAAAGATTATTTTGTGTATAATGCTTTGTTATTTATAGGCAATACATTTCACATGGTCCAAGATCTAAAAATTATACAGGGAGTACAATCCAGTCTCCTACTTTGTGCTCTCCTTAGAGGAACCAGTATTGCCAGTTTCTTGTTTATTTATCCAGAGGTCCTTGATGCATCTAAAAGTAATTGTATGCACATATATACACATTCATATTATATCAACATATATGTTCGTGCTACATACATTCTTTGCATCCTGCTTTTGTCACTGAATCAATTTTGGAGATAGCTTCCTATCAGGGCACAAAAAACTTTCTCATTTTTTTTTTTGAAGGTTAACAGACTATACCATCCTATGGATATCTGGTATTTTATTTAGCCATTCCCTTCTGGGTGGATAGTTAGGTTGTTTCTGTTCCCTTGTGGTTACAAATGCCAATGCAGTGAATAACTTTGCATGTACGTCATGCATCGTTTTCTACCCAGCAGATATATATCTGTAAGATATTCCAACAAGTGAAATTGCCAAATAAGAAAATTTGTGTGTTCCTGACTCTATTGGGTGTTGCCAAATTACCCTCCACTGAAGCTCTACCCATTTCCATTCCCCACTGGCAATGAATATAGATGAGGAGGTACAGTGATTTTATAATTTTTAAAATTTGCTCTCACTGTTTATATCTTCTCATCGAAAATCTTCTGGGAATAAATAAAAAGTGGGCATGCCTTATAGTATTTTGTGCCCATCACATTCTCAGTGTTCAGGGACCCAGAATTTGCCCATGGGAGGTCTTTTAAGTGTTATGAAGTTAACGTCACTGGGAAGTAGCATTCGCTTTCTCCAGAAAAGGGCTATTTAGTTCCTGCTTCCTGGCACTAATAGTTCCCAAATGACTTGCCTCTCAAAGAGTTTACATGTAAGAAAATCTCTCTCAGCAAATCTCCCTCTGAGTGGATGTTCAGCTTATTTTTTAAGCTTCTGACTCAAGGGCCCTTTTGCGAGTCTGACAGAAGTGATAAAACCCTCTCCCCCGAAAAGGTACCAGCAGTTTGTATATCATTTCAGAGGCTCCCAGAGCTGCCTTGGACCCAAGGGAGTGGTTTTCTGTATAGGGGTGAGGCTCATACTGCCAGGCACCACTCTGTACTCCACAAGAGGGGTTTGTGGATTCCAGACTCAGAGCTGGGAAGAACCAGTTCCATGTATCCAGGGAGACCCTGGTTCCAGGCGTGGCTTTCTGCTTGCCCATTTCTTGGCCAAGTGACTGATAAGTTATTTGGCCTCTCTCAGCTTTAGTTTTTTTCATCTGTGGAATGGGGACAACACTTGCTTTACAGTATTGTGTTGGAGACATTGAAGCCTAAGCACCCAACACATGGCTGGCTTCAGGCCCATGTTGGAGAAAAGGAAGCTGTTGTTATTCTTGCTATAGTGGAGTCCTTTGCATTCTGCTAATTGGGATTCTGGAATGACCACATTCCTTCCTATCACAGAGACCTTGAACATGCTCTTTCCTCTGCCTGGAAAACTTTTCCTTCCTTTTGTCTCCTGAACTCTCCATCTCAGAGAGCCTTTTCCTGCTTCCAATTTCAAGTCAATTTGCCCTTGGTTTCTTCTGGAGAAACTCTTCCTTCTCAGTGACTCTCCCAGTTATAATGAGATCTGTTAGTATATTTTCTTGTCTAATGTTGTATCCCCCACTTGGGCTACATGTTCTAGGTAAGCTGGAACAAGAGCAAAGGTGCTGAGGCAGGTGGGGACTGGGCAGAGGCACAGGCAGGTGGCCTTTGTGATCTGGAGAGAACTGTGTGAAGGAAAGAGAGATAAGACAGGAGAGAGTGGATCAGGGGTCAGATCATGGGGACTTTCTGTGCCACAGAGAGACAACATTTGAATTTTCTTCATAGAGTATTGGTGTCCCTCTAACTCTTCAATAGTAAGCCAGGGAATCCTCTAATCTAATTGAGTTCTTTAAACTTTAATGTTTTATTATTTTTATAAATTTCTTTTAATAATTTACTTTTGTCTTTTCAATCATTTTTTTAAATGTTTATTTATTTTTGAGAGAGAGGCAGAGCGTGAGTGGGGGAAGGGCAGAGAGAGAGGGAGGCATAGAATCCGAGGCAAGTTCTAGGGCTCTGAGCTGTCAGCACAGAGCCCACTGGGGGCTTGAACTCACAAACTGTGAGATCATGACTTGAGCTGAAGTCAGACTCTTAACTGACTGAGTCACTCAGGAACCCCTAATAATTTACTTTTTGGAAAAGATCACCAGCCACTGTGTGTAAGGCAAGGTACAGAGTGGGTGGGTCTGGGGAACAGGGAGCAGAGGCTAGGGAGGCTGCAGCTGTGTGGTTCTGATTCTGTCTGGAGGCTGGGGCTCTGTAGCTAGTGGGGTTCTAGCAACCAGAATATTCTAAGCTAGTTCTTCTTCCATTTGCCTGAAGTGCCTTGATCTTCCAAGAGCTGATTGAGAATGGGCTCTGTCTGAGGGAATGACAGATCCTGGGGCTTCCACTAGCGTTGGCAGACTGACTGGAGAGTGGAGCTTACCTGAGATGGTGGTGAAGTGAGATGGGGAAGTCATTGTCACGAAGGGTGGTGTGAGGTACTTGGCCTTCACGCCCTCCTGGGCCAGGCGGTCCATGTTGGGGGTGTTCACATCCTGGTCGTAGTTCCAGCGGAAGCCATCGAAGGAGATCAGCAGCAACTTATTGAAGTTCTTCCTCCCAGGGACAGGGTGGCAGCTGGCCCAGCCCAACAGGACAGGCAGCATCAGTGTGAGGATCCCAAGCCCTGTCATGCTGCAGGCACCACACATCACAGAGTTTGTGGGCCTGCTCCCATTTTCTCCCTTTTTTATCTGTGGTTGAGCAAAGTCCAAATTGATAAGTCTGCCTGTGTTCCATTGTGGATCAAAACACCTGGAGTGTAACAAGATGTCATGTTTTATGTGATAGAAAGTTCCGGAAATTGATGGTGGTGATGGTTGCACAACATTGTGAGTGCATTTAATGCCACTGAACTGTACATTGTAAAATGGTAAAAATGGTAAAATTTTATGTCATGCATATGTTACCATGAAAAAAAAAGTCAAACCATGTGAAATATTTTGGACTTTTATATCAATTACACTATTGTGAAGACTTGGGGAAGTAATTAGATTGGTGCTTTCTTTTGCTCAGTATATTCTATTTTTATAGGGAGAACAAATTATTGTTCATTATGACCACGAAAGCAGCTACCATGGATTGAGGGCCTGTGAAGGCCAGAAGCTGCTATACATTATCTATTCACTTAATTAAAAAAAATCCTAGGTGGGTTATTAGTTGGAAGTACCCCATAAGAATTTTAAAAAAATATTGTTGGGGCGCCTGGGTATCTCAGTTGATTAAGTGTCCGACTTCGGCTCAGGTCATGATCTCATGGTTTGTGGGTTCGAGCCCCACATTGGGCTCTGTGCTGACAGCTAGCTCAGAGCCTGGAGCCTGTTTCAGATTCTGTGTCTCCCTCTCTCTCTGATCCTCCCCTGCTCACACTGTCTCTCTCTCAAAAATAAATAAAACATTAAAAAATTATTGTGGTTAAATACACATAGGATAACATTTACCATTTGAAAGTATACAAATTCAGTGACATTTGGTGCATTCACAATGTTGTGCAACTATTATCTCTATCTAATTACATACCTTTTTCATCTCATCAAAAGGAAACCTTATACCCATTAGCAGTCACTCCTCATTCTTCCCTCACTCAGTCTCTGGCAGCCACTAATTTGCTTTTTGTCTGCTTGACTATACCTCTCCTGGCCATTTCATACATGGAATCATAAAGTGTGTGGCCTTTTGTGTTTGGATTCTCTCACTGAGCATGATGTTTTCAAGGTTCATCCATGTTGTAATATGCATCAACATTTCATTCTTTTCGTGGCTTATTAATATTCTACTGTGTGGATATGCCACATTTTATACATCCATTCATCAGCTGATTGACATTTGGGTTGTTTCCACCTTTTGGCTATTGTGAATAGTACTGCTGTGAATACTTGTTTGAATACCCCCTGCTTTCCACTTAATTTTTACAACATATCTTTCAGATGGTTTTTACTTATTAGCTGTGTAAATAGCTCAGAGAGACCACGGAACCATTTCAAGGTAATATAGCGGATGTGAAGCTGGGACTCCAGTTTTTATACTTGACCACATGTTTGCTGGGCATGGGTGTATTAAATTTCCCAAGGGGACAAATTGCTTTGAATACTCTTTTTTTAAAGCATACTATTTTTTTTAATGATTATTTTATTTTGGGGGGAGGGGCAAAGAAAGAGAGAGAATCCGAAGCAGGCTCCAGGTTCCAAGCTCCTGAGCTATCAGCGCAGAGCCCAATGTGGGGCTCAAACTCATGAACCATGAAATCATGACCTGAGCTGAAGTCGGACACTTAACCGACTGAGCCACCTAGACGCCCCCCACCGACATTTGTTGAGCACATACTATATCCTAGGGGTGGAAAGAGGCAAGATGGCAGAGAAGTAGGGAGCTCCATACATTTCACTCACCCCCATCTCTCAAACTGAGAAGGCCTGAAGCCATAGGGCACTGAACCGCAGGAGTTTGGGAGGAAAAGAGACAGAGTCCACTGAGAAGACCACCTCACAAGTGTGTGAGTGCGAACTGGGGAAGATAAAAATGGGCCTGGACCCTGAGACATGGAGGGAGGGGAGAGAACCCCCTTCGTGGGGAGCCGTGGTGATTTGAGGGGAAAAGAAAGAGCGGCTGGAACTGCTCATAGAACTGTCCCTGGAGAAGAGAAAAACCTCAGCTTGGGACGGAGAGTGATCCTGTTCCTAGATGTGTTGCAAACTTTGGGCTGAGTGCCCTGGTCCCAGGTGGTGCCAGGAGAAACTGCCCCTCTGCTCTCCCAGCTTGGTCTGGCAGGGAAACAGCCTGGCCTGAAACTGCTCTGCTGCTCTCCCTGCTCGATACCTGGCTGGGAAGGACCTGACCTGCCAGTTTATATTTTGAAAAAAAAATTTTTAATGTTTTTATTTATTTTTGAGAGACAGAGAGGGACAGCGTGAGCAGGGGAGGGTCAGAGAGAGAGGGAGAAACAGAATCCGAAGCAGGCTCCAGGTTCTGAGCTAGCTGTCAGGAGGCTGACATGGGGCTGGAACATTGGAGCTGTGAGAATGTCATGACCTGAGCAGAAGTCGGACTGAGCCACTCAGTTGCCCCTGCTGGTTTCTATTTTGGGTGGTATCAATAAAACGTGTGGACTAAGACCTGGAAATGAGGCGGGGCTTGGGGCATAGAACATGGCCCACCTTGGCTATGCCTGCAGCACTGGGAGATCAGACCCAAAATAGTGATTTGCAATGCTTGGTTCGAGAAGGGACTGGGGCACCTCCATTTTTCTCCCCACAACCACAAGGGCAGGAACTCAGGGAGCGGCCCACAGGACACAGTGGAGGCTAAGACCTGCCTACACCAAACCACACTCATCCCTGCTAGAGAGCTGCTTTTTTTTTTTTTTTTTTTTTTTACTGGAACCCCAGGGCAAGACCAACATGGATGCACTGCCGTGATTAATTCTAGATCAGTTCTTTCTATTCAGATATATTTCCCCTGGTCTCATTCGTATCCCTCCCCTCTCCTGGACTGGGCACTCTGGTCATTGGTTTGCTTAAACAGTAGCATTTAATCCATTCTCTAGATGTATATTATACACCTCCACCACTACCTTTCTCTCTCTCTCTGAAGTAATCAGACTGTATAGTTTCTCTGAGGAACGTTATCTTCATTTCTTTCTCCTCGCCTCCTACTACATTCTCTCTCTCTCTCTCTCTTTGAATTAAGCCTCTTAGTCTCTCTGCCTGGTCATTGTCCAATGTCTCTTTCTCTCCACCCTGTCATTTCTCTCTGTGTGTATGCTCTTCCATCAGCACTGCATACACCCTGCTCTTTATTTGTAGCTGGGAATTTTGGTTTTATGCTTTTAGACTGTCCTTTGTCTTTTGTTCTTTTTTTCTTTTTTCTTTTCTTTTTTTTTTTCCTCCTTTTTTCTTTTTCTTTTTCCCTTTTGGTTTGCTCGTTGGATGGATTTGTCTGTGCATTTGCATGCCTTTGTTCCCTGTGTGTTTGTCTGTTATCTTTTCTAGGGCTACCTCAAGAAACAAGCCAAAGTACACATGGCGGAGAGTCCAAATACCACTATGAGTAGGGAAATAAAATAACCAAAGTCTCAACAAGAGAGACCAAGGGACACCATTAAAAGAACTCTTCCTGGATGGACAGGCCCTGGACAGTCAGTGAGACTTCTTTAACTTGCAGGTGCAGAGCTCATAACAAGCTTTTAAAACTAACAAGAGACAGAAAGCTAGCCAAAATGATGGAATGGAAGAACTCTCCTCTAAAGAAATTCCAGGAACTGGGGCGCCTGGGTGGCTTAGTCGGTTAAGCGTTCGACTTTCGCTTAGGTCATGATCTCGCGGTTCGTGGGTTCGAGCCCCGCGTCGGGCTCTGTGCTGACTGCCAGCTCAGAGCCTGGAGCCTGTTTCAGTCTGTGACTCCCTCTCTCTCTGACCCTCCCCTGCTCACGCTGTCTCTCTCTCTCTCCTAGAAATAAATAAAAAAAACATTAAAAAAAAAAAAAAGAAATTCCAGGAAGAAATGATAGCCAAAGAACTTCTCAAAACAGATATAAACAACATAACTGAACAAGAATTTAGAACAATAGTCATAAAATTAATCCCTGGGCTTGAAAAAGGCACGGAAGACATCAGAGAAGCTATTGCTACAAAGACTATGGAGCTTAAAAATAGTTGTGATGAATTAAAAAATGCTATAAATGAGGTGCATAATAAAATGGAGGTATCCAACACACGGATTGAAGAGGCAGAGAGGAGAATAGGTGAATTAGAAGACATAATTATAGAAAAAGAGGAAGCCGAGAAAAAGAGATAAACTGATCTAGGAACACAAAAGGAGAGTTCAAGAGCTGAGTGATACAATCAAATGGAACAATATCTGTATCATAGGAATTCCAGAAGAGAAAGAGAGAGGGAAAGACGCTGAAGGAGTCCTTGAACAAATTTTAGCTGAGAACTTTCCCAATCTGGGGAAGGAAACAGACATTGAAATCCAAGAGGCACAGAGAACTCCCCTCAGACATAACTTGAATTGATCTGTATGACATATCATAGTGAGACTGGCAAAATATAAGGACAAAGAGAGAATTCTGAAAGCAGCTAAGGAGAAAAGGGCCCTAACATACAAAGGGAGACCTGTATCCTAGGGATAAGAGACACAGAAATATAGATGCAGAGGTTGCCTATGGGTGGCTCAGAGTCCAGGGGACAGGCAGACAAGTAAAGTATTACATGCAGTGGAAGGGCCCTGCTGCAGGTGTGCATGGGAAGTGATGTGGGAGCAGGTGTAGAGGGTCCCAACCTGGAGAAACTGGGTAGGGGAGGGTTACTTGGAGGTGATGGTGCTAGACTTGAGTTTTGCAAGCTGGGAGGAATTAACCTGTTGGAAGCACCATCACTCAGCCATTCATCTGGATATGACAACATCTGCCTCTGGCCTCTTCCTGGAGGTATATGGAGACATTTACCTTTGCACTTTTAGAAAGATCTGTGCATTGTATAAAGATATCACCAAAGGGTTTTTATGTGACAGGAGTTGAAGGTCTGCTCAGATATTTAGGGGAAGTTTTTGGAAGATTGTTGTCTTGACATGGGGGACTGAAGGCTGCATATCAGAACCAGATTGATGACTCATTTCCCCCTTGCTGAAATTGCCT